AGGATCACATCTGCTGCAGTGCTTTGTCTCCGTGCGGTGGCTGGCTGGCATACTCTACTGTCACCAGTTTCCGTCTCTACAGACTACTGAATGGCAGCATAAGCATCTGCAAGGTGGGTGTCTCATCACCCGTCTTCTACCCTGAGGATCACTCATTCCCAATGAGCAAAATGTCCCGTTATGAGGGCGACAATGAAGCTCAGTGTCCTTCCTCCCTCCAGGTGTCCAAACTACCAAAGGACCTACGTCCTGCCCACCAGCTCTGCTTCTCCACCGACTCCTCCAAACTGTTTGCGTCCTCCAGCAATTCCTCCGTCGTTGTTGTTGCCCTCAATGAGCCGGAGTGCAAATACCTCGGTACCCTTAAAGCCAAGTATGGTGAGTCTGAGGTGCATCTGTGACGTAGAGTCGTGAGTATTTGACTCATTTGACTTTGTCAAGAAAAGTAATCACTTTATATTGGGGCTCCCAATAGATTAAATCTGATTTTGACATTCATTAATCACAATTAGAAGTTTGATTTTCTTTCAAAAACTAAATCTTATAACAGTGTTCGTACGGTCATAGAAAACCTGGTAAGGTCATGTAATTTTAAAATGGTCATTTCAGGCCTGGAAAAAAATAAAATCTCGTTCATGCGGTTCATTTAAGATACGTTTGAAATAATTCATATGGTTTCAAAGAGACGCTCAAAATACAAGCAGGACACTCTCCTACTCGCAGCGCAAATAATTTGCACGGCGGTTGTGTGAGCGCGCCTTAACTGAAAAGTTTGGTAGCTCAGAATCATCCACTGTGCTGGGAAATGTAGAGTTAACCGTGGTTGGCTTCAAGGGTGTAACCATGGTTTAGACATTGGGGGGTACCAATCTTTGGAACCCCTTGAGCAAGTTTATTCAATTTTTTCACAAATGTACATTTACTACACTGAATCTGTTTGCATAAAGTGCCAAGTCACTAAACCCAGTCCCCTGTGTGTGCTCTCCAGGCTGCAGACAGCCGGTGCACTTGCTGTCTGCCAGTGAGAACGGCAAATGGCTCGCTACAGCTAACACGGACTGTGAGGTCCATGTCTACAACCTCGACAAGCTGAAGGTCAGTTTGAACTCTCTCTCAGCCAAATCTTAATTTGTAGCCAAAGCAACAACATCCAATGTCTGTCCGTCTTCAGCTTCATTGTACAGTCCCAGTGTACGGCTCGTGTCCCACTGCCATGGCCATCCACCCTACAACCAGCAACCTGGTAGTGGTGCATGCTGACCAGCAGGTAAACACGGCATTCCACTCCTTCATCTTCTGCTCTCCCCTTTATGAGAAGAGTACGACAAAAGGTTTGTTAAAGCTAAAGTGTGTGTGTGTGTGTGTGCGTGTGTGTGTAGATCTTTGAGTACTCTCTGGTGAAGAAGGAGTACACAGAGTGGAGTCGGAGGCTGCAGAAACAAGGACTGCACTCCCTATGGCTGGAGAGGGACACCCCCATCACCCATGTCACCTTCAATCCTAAAAATCCAGCTCACATCATCGTGCAGGACCTGTTTATGTTCTGTATCATCGATAAGAGTCTGGTATGTCGATGAACAATGAGTGGTGCTTGATCGCTGTTATGTCTCTTTCAGATTTCTGAATGGTGATGCTATGTTTATGTGTTCTGTCTCCACATGCAGCCCCTCCCTGAAGCTAAGAATGTGCTCTACAATCAGATGACACTGAGGAGTCTGCCTGAGCCAGATAGGGTCCTACACAGCCATGGCTTTAAGATATGCAAAGATTTCCAGGTAGGGTTTCCCTGAGCACAGTGGCACTCTGCCTCCACAATTCTGACCCAGTCCAGCACAAAGAACGAAAGGCAGAAGCTGTCAAAATGGATATTATTGTCAGAATATCAATTTTCTGACCGTCCTCATCGTGTGTACAAATGTTTCAGTCTGGGAAATAGACCAAATCAAAGCTTAAAATGGTGCTTAATTTGTCATTTTAACAACATGCATTGTAAAACCACTAGTTTTTGAACTTGTGGTTTTACTTGTTGTTACTTTGGTAGCTGGCTGGCAGAACACAAACCCATCAGCATCTGGAGTTGTTATGCAGAGAGAACTTGTGTATGTATGTATTAAACTGTCCCAAAGTCCGCTAGTATCAGGAAACATCCATTGCCATAATATGTCAGACATACGAGGAATTTGACTTGGCGGTTGGTGCAGACAGTACGACAATGGACGACAAGACAACAGTGCAAGATAAATAAAATGAAATCTAATACTTTTGGTTAGTAATATAAGGCTATGGGTTAGTTTAAAAATAAAGGAATTAAAGTAAAAATAAAATAAAGTGCACCAGCGAACAGAAAGTGCGTGTGAAAGAAAGTTACCGGTGGAATGTCAGAGTCAGTCAGTGGGGGACCGGGCTGTGGATGAGCCTGACTGCCGACAAGAAGAAACTGTTTGTGTGGCGGGAGGTCTTAGTCCTGATGGACCTCAGCCTCCTGCCAGATTGAAGGGGCACAAACAGTTTTTGTCTGGGGTGAGAGGGGTTGGCTATGATCTTTTTAGTTCACGTCAAGGTCCTAGAAGCAAACAAGTCCTGGAGGGACGGCAGATTGCAGCCGATAACCCTCTGCTGAGCGGCTGACACGCTGCAGCCTGTCCTGTTATTGCCCTATTAGTAGTAAGACCAGGTCAAAGTTCCCTCTCTAATATCGGTTTTATATTGCTATGCCTAAAACTATTTTATTCAACTTCTTTAAATGAACTACACTCAGTAACATTTTTCTGATTTAGTTTGTTCTCCTGATTTTCAGCACCTCCTGTGTGTGAGTCTGTTGGAGGATCATTCTCTAGTGGTGGTGGAGCGCCCCCTGCTGGACATCGTGTCACAGCTGCCTGCTCCTGTTCGCCAGAAGAAGTTTGCTACATAAGTGTCTTCACCCCTTTTGTAAAACTGACTTTGATAAAAAAAATTCTGAATTGATTCATGTATTACTTTATGTATACATTGTGAGTTATGAAATAAAAACTAATTCAGTGTTTAGCTACGTTTGCAGAACTGCGCCACAAGGTGCCTTTGGTTAGTATTAAAGCTTTTGGATATTATGTGTCGAAGATATTTTCTTTAAAGTTTGAGACATTGGGCATTGTTGCTGAGACTTTTCTTGCCTGGCTTTATTGTATAGCAAGAATCCAATCAGAAATAACTGTAACCATGTCCTTTTTTGTATTTGAGTATGATTTTGGTTTTCCTTCTTTTTGCAATTTCAAGTAAAGCAGAATGTCACAAAAGCGTTTTTTAAGACCAAACCCCACGTTGGACAGGACCACTACAAAGCCTGAATAATATGTGGGAATACCCAGCTCTTGTGTCAAACCCCAGGGGAAAGTCGTGCTTCCCTAACTGGAAATAACCGAAACCCAGTGATAATTGGGACTTTTACACTGTGTCAGGTTGGTAATCCCGCCTAGTAACCATCATCTTTGAATGAGCAAGCAAAACAATTACTTCTTTCTAATACATTTTACTTTTATTTTGCTTCAAAGAAGCTGAACCTATTGTCTTTTTCAGACATATGTCCCATTGGGACAAAACCTTGAATATATTCAACATATGTTCTTCATACAATTTTTTCTTGATGCACTCATTAATCAGCATTTTAAATGTTTCCATTGCTCAAACACGTCACATGCCAAACAGTCCATAAATAGATATTATACGCAGTTAAATAATATTGTAAAAAACTATACAATAGCAATTTTCTCCGATGACAATGCCATCAATATGAAAACATTCATGTTGGATACACTAGGCAGAGCTGTAAACAAATTCTGCAAACCTTTTCTAAATGTATCATGTCATCCATTATGAAAATAAAAAGATGGCTGGTGAAATAATCCCAGTGGTGTCGGCTGTGTCAAACCTCAGTCAAAGATCAGTGAGCATGCTGCACCAAAATTCCCTCAGCTGTCCAATGTCTGCTCACTAATCAATTGTATCAATTCAATTGTACCTATCAAGACAGATGAGACCAGCCAGCTTGTAAGACTTGATGTTTTAAGGAGATCAAAACTTTGAGGATCAGCAACTTCCTGATGTTAAACTCAGTCACTTGATATAGTTTCTGTCATTGCCCTTCGAATCCAGAATCATGGAGTTATCTAACGGTAGTTATATCTGATGGTGATTATATCTGGGGGTGGTTGTCTCTGCAGTGGTCTTGGCGTACACCTGGCTTACTATTCGCAATATTAGAACAATTTCTGTTATAGGGATTGAATGTATTGTACATCTTTTACGTTGCAGTCTGTTCAGTCTTTCCTGTAGATGTGAGGGTTTCTGGACAGGTGATGTTGCGTGTGTACAGATTGAGAACCCTCTGATGCAGCAACTATTTTAGATTGTGGCTATATGTATATATATATATATATATATATATATATACACATACACATACATATATATATAGCCAAAATCAAAAATTGCAAATGCATCAGAGGGGCTTTATAGTCTGTACACACGCGACATCCCCTGTCCAGAAACCCCTATGTATGTATATGTATATATATATATATATATATATATATATACACATACACTATACATATATATATAGCCAAAATCAAAAATGTATATATATATATATATATATATATATATATATATATATATATATATATAAAATGAATTGATCAGAGCCGACACCCCTAGTTCAGACTTTCCAGGGGACTTGGTGCATTTTAGAACAAACACAACATGAACGGTAGAGCTGGTTAGTTGTAGCTCTTGGCTCGGGTGCAGGTGCAACCCACAGCTACTTTGACAGTGACCGGCTTCAGGTAGTACCTCCTCCCGTCGTCGCACAGCTCCCTCTTGAGGAACACCCTGCTCTGCGTCACAGGGTGCGAGTTGTAGTCGTGGCTCTCCACCGGATTCTTGTTGTTCTGGATCAGGACGCACCCGGAACACAAGCACTGAGCCTCGGAGTAGCTGGAAGGAAAGTGATCCTCCTTTGTGACACGCCTGGAAACGAATGAGATGAGTCGGTGATTCGCTTTTCCCGAAACATCCATTAAGATTATGCTTTCATAAAACTGCATTTTATTTCAATGCTAAACTTCTTTTCCTACACCAACAGTAAATATACATTAACGGTAAGGTTTTTTTTCGAGATCTAGTTTGACAACTGCGATTAAACGTGACATAAACGTGCTCATTTTTCTTTTGAAGTGGACTCATCATGGCCTCAGCCAAGAGTGAAACATACTTTAATGCGAACGTTTAACATGTAGCGTACGGTTTTCTTCAGTGGTGTAGTCTATATTTTATACTGGGTGAACCGGTTGGCTGGTTTGCTTTCTGGGTCACATTGAATAAAACACAACTGCTTTGTCTTCGATTGAAACGCACACGACGCACAGTGGGGAAACACTCGGATCACTTGGTTTGGTATCAATAACAATACCAAGCTGATCAGTGATCTCCTTAGAAAGAAAACAGAAGAAGCTTCGGAAACTAGAGGAAAAATTCCCAGTCTCCGACAAACAGCCTGTTGATACGGTGTCAGGGATTACTGCACAGTTTGCTCGGTGACGTCATTTACGTCATTCCGAGTGGATATGTGGCAGCAAAGCAGTGTTGTATGAAGAGGGGACTTTTCCTTCTCGATAGCGCGACCGCGTCATCCACGCGCCAAGCGGTGCAGGGTGTGCCACGGCACGCGCACTAACAGGTCACGGGGATGCGCAAATATTGTGCAAATGTGAATTCCACTTCCAGAGGAACTTGCCATTTGTTGTTAAATATTTACATAAATGTTGCCTACGTTTTATGGCTGCATATTTCTATCCCATGCTAACAAATGGGTTCTCCATATTTTAACCTGACATGATTTGATATCTTGGTTGCCCTCACAACATTCCGCAGCCGATCTTGAACTGTGACTCCTCCTGATGGAGCTACAGTATGAATGTCTATCTAAAGAGCTCATTGAGTTTTTCTCGCTTCTATTTCGATTCTCAAATTGTCTCCATCGGGTCTTTGTTTCCAGCTGGGACCTAACTGAGCAGTTAACTGGCGTCATACATGTTCTGCGTCTAAAATCAGTTTGAAATTAAACACATGCGAGCCATGCGTCAGGATGATACTCACACGTATCTCCATGGTGACAGGGACCTGTCTCGGACGTGCTGAGGCGGCTGCTGCGGGAAAAGCGACACGGGGCAAGAGGCCAAAGAGTTGGACAACGCCGCAGTCGGGAACTCGTGAGGCTGTGGGTAGTGGCTCCTCAGCTTCCTCTCCGCTGCCTGGTGCAGCTCGCTGACATTGTAGCACCGGTTCATCCTGCACGTCCACACGGGCACGAGACAAAGTCCAAAGATGAGAATCTGTGAAGGGGCAGACAGACAGAAAGACAGTCAGACAGACAGACAGCTGCAGTGCATGCAGCCAATATGAGCTCTGTCCTGTGTGTCCCTCTCACCTGCTTTATGTCCATCCTCTGTCCCTCTCTTCTGGCTGACTGTTAAAGGATCTTTTACCAGCATCCATCCTCACCTGTCTGCTATTTATGGAGTGCACAGGTGGGAAAAACCAGCATGAGGAAATGGAAAGGCCGTTTAGTTTGTATACTTCCTGTTTCCTAAGTGAAAGGAGCCTGCAGCAGGTAGGTATGAGGGCGGTCTCGTACTGAGGGTGGCCAAGGAATTTTCTACACAGACACACACACACCCGAGCACTTGAGCGCCGAGAGGCTGACGGCACCTGGTAAATATGCTGCCGAACAAAAACCAAGTGCTGAAACCAGAAACTGCTGCTGATGAAAGCTCAATCTATTTTAAGAGCGGCCTCTTGAAGTGATGCCATAATCACAACATCCAGCCCACGGCTTTCATTGCTTTTACATGTATTTATGACATTGTGCTGTATTAAGGAATAATTTTTACATAATGATTTTACAACTATTGTTGAGTGAGGCAACTCCTTACCAACCCCAACTAAACTCCTTCCTTATATCCCTTATTTATTGTCCCATAATCTATAAGTGCCTTTGTTTGAACGTATGTTGTTATAAGTGTGTCTGAATGTGTCTCTGTCTATGTTTATTGCATTGTTCAATACATTTGTTTGAGTGAGGCTAATTCTATTATGAATGTTGATATTTTGAAATGTCTTTATTCATTTATTTAGCCATTTAACCCAGGATTTATTATTTATGCATTTTTTGTTTGAGAACAAATTCACATGGTAAATGGACCGTACTTGTACAGAGCTTTTCTAGTCTTCCGACCACTCAAAGCACTTTAAAATTTCATGTCATCATTCACCCATTCACACACTAATGACAGGTGCTACCATACACAGTCCCACCACATCAGTAACTAGCATTCACACACTGTAGTCACAGCTACAGGAGCAATGTTGGGGTTAAGTGTCTTACCCAAGGACACATGGGTTAGCAGGGGCCTGGGATTGAACCGCCAATCCTCTGATTGGAGGACGACTCCACTCACCCACAGTTGCCCACATTTGACTGAATATATTTACTTGCATATGTCACTTTGTACTAATGTATTTATTACAGAACTTATTTCTTTGTTTCTGGGCACATAAAGATGTATTTCACTTTTATATATTCATTTTTGAACCATAAGAAATAAAAGACACACTATTTGTCTGTTTATACGTTAGAAATACAATTAATCATAACAAGGAAATGAGCCATGGAAAATCCCACACAGGCCATGCCATGTGTGTCGGACTACTAGTTCTAATGAGCTAAAACAACTTTTTGAATACAGGGTTGTACCTCATCAACCTATGACATCAAATAAAAAAAATAATTTTTTGGTATTTGTATCTCTCTTGGTTATTGTGCCAAGAGAATTTCCAGCAGAAGTTTGTATGACTGTCCCAGTAACACTGCCAGGTGGCCATAAGGTGGCAAACCATTATACTGTATGTCAACCTCACTAAGGGCACAAACAAGTACAAAATTATAATTATAAGTCAAATCCTACACAGTTTTATACACAAATCCTGCAACAACTGTACACAACTTTGAAAATGCTTTTTTTCTGAATGAAATTTAGATTGATTAGGGTTGTGCTATTCCTGCTCCATACAGACTCAAAATGGCGTACTATATGTCATATATGCACACATATGGTCACATCTTCATAGTTTACTCAACTCAACCTGAGTCTGAAGCAGGAGGAAGTCCAGGTGCTGTGGAAGACGTTGTGCCTGGTCTCAGTACCAAAGAAGACAACCCTGCCTGGCCTCAATGACTACTGACCAGTCGCCCTCACATCCCATGTGATGAAGGTGCTGGAGAGGGTGGTCTTGACCTACCTTTGACCGCAGGTGAAATCATCACTGGAAAGCAATTTGCTTACCAGGCTAATGTGGGGGTGGGTGACGCCATCATCTACCTGCTGCAGCCCAGTCGCATCTAGATGGAACCACAGGCGCCGTCAGAATTTCTTCTCCACTTCTCGCACTTCTCTAGTGCATTCAACACCATCCAACCACTGCTGTTGAGTGAGAAGCCGCGGGTGGTGTTGGTTAATGCGTCCACCGTCTCCTGGATCACTGACTACCTGACGGGCAGACCACAGTTTGTCCAACAGGGCCGTGTGCTGTCTGATGTGGTGGTCAGTGATACTGGAACCCCACAGGGAACTGTCCTGTCTCCCTTCCTGTTCACTAACTTCTGGTACATCTGGTCGGGCGTATAAGGAACGGAGGGGAGGAGTATAGAGCAGTAGTGCAGGACTTTGTGAAGTGGGCCGGTAGAAATCACCTGACTCTCAACATGACCAAGACCAGAGAGATGGTGGTGGACTTCACCTGGGTGTCTCCATCGACAACAGACTGAACTGGAAGGCCAACATCAAGGCTGTGTACAAGAAGGGGATTAGTCAACTAATTTTCTTGGAGCTAGTGACACCAACACACTCAAGAAGCTGGTGATCATTGGCTGCATTCAGAACCGGTGGTGGAGAGGACACTGAAAAAACTATTGCCTATATTGGATAACAAGGACCACGCTCTTCACCACCTACTGCAGGGACAGCGGAGCACCTTCTCCAACAGGATGATCCAGCTGTCCTGTCACAAGGACAGACACAGGAAAACATTCCTGTCAACTGCAATAAGACTATACAACATCACCCCTGGCTAAGTCCTTGTTTAATTGAACTGTCTTAATTTAATACCGTGGCACTACTGTTTTAATTTTATTTTATATTCACATACACTGTATATACTTGTGTGCTGTTCTTTCTTTTTTCTATTTAATTTTCAAATTTGTGAATGTCTGGCTCTGCTATTTTTTGTATTGTGTATAAATTATGCATTTTACTTTTAATTACTACTGCTACTGGTACACACAAATATCCCCCTGGGGATTAATAATGTATAAATCTATCTACCTATAAGCATAGTTTCATCGGGCCTCTGTATGAATAGGCGGGACAATAGAGCTCTGGAGGCCAGAGAAGGATAGCAGGAGAATCTCTGTGCTGGTAAGCGTAACACAAAATTCTGCAAATGCATTCTTACAGCAAATTCAGTCTATGGGCAACTTTGTATTGACCTTGTATACAATCCTAAAAGTTTAACTTGCATCTGGTGGGACCACAGGATTATTGGGCGGCTTTGGCTCAGTGAAGAGCAGGGTTGTCCAATCAGAGGATCGGTGGTGCGATCACTGGCTCCGCTTATCATGATGTTGGGGTTTTCTTGGGCAAAGCACTTAACCCCACTGCTGTTAATGCATATCCCATCAACACATCAATTCCTCCATGGTTAAAATTACTTGCACTATTCCATCACCTCCTCAACATTAGAGGCAGGAAACGCCTGCAAGCCACAATGCAGTTCCTCTTGGCCTAAAAAGCACCATCTGAAAATTCACAAGCATCCCCCTCAACGAAATGATGAGGAAATAAAAAGCACCTCAACTTCCTCCAGTGGACTTTGTGCCTCTGTGACACAACTTCCTTCTTTATACATACACCACATATTAAACCGACTATGAGACAAGGAACACACATGGCTGAAAAAATACACTATGTAAAGGTGCAGGTGATTGGCCACAGGAGGGGACATTTGGGGACAAGGCAATCCATACACAGTAAGGGACTAAAACACATTGGGTTTTAGGTGGGGACTTGTAATCCTGCGAGGTCACAGGTGACCTTGTTGGCATGAAGACTTGACCTGCGCAAGCGCAAGACAGATGATAATCCAGGATTCATAGAACCGTAGTTACATACGTAACTTTTGTTATACTATTGATGTTTACCTGGTAGCACTGTAGCCAACCTTTGGTTTTCAGTACCATGTCTCAATATATCAGTGGACTCCTATGAAAACCTTAGTCCGTCCACCAGATTGATCATCTCGTCGATAGTGTTACAGGCTCTTTGAGTGACTCTACTGTTCTTCTTGAAAGGAGAATGGTACTACAAGTGTTCTCCTCTGTGTAACCCACAACTTAAGCAAACAGCCTGGAAACTCCTCGTGAGGTAACTTCTCAAACATGTGTAAACCCTGGAATATTAAATCACTCCCAATTATCGATTGGTGTCATGTTCATTGAGCTGATGATCTGTAGAAGAGTTTGATGGATAGATGTTCATTATCAGCAAGAGGGGCCCTCGTTAAATTCCCTGGAGGAAGGACCACCCGCAGAGTTTGCATGATCTCACCTTCTCAGATTGTGTTCTCTCCAAGTCCTCCAGGTTTGTCCACCCACAATCCAAAGGCATGCAAGTTAGGTTTATCGATGACTTGGTCCACCTCAACATAGCAGGCCTCTGATGGTCAGTCCAACCGGTCCGGGGCGAACCTGTAATCCGCTCCAGCCCCCGCAACGGGTTGGGGGAGTCTGGAGGGGGCTTTTTTGATAGCACAACTCAAACATTCAAAAAAAAAAAAAAATCAGAGCATGGAACTTAAAATGTTTAGTTGACCGAAAAAAAACTGCCAGCCTTTGGGGGAAAGGTAAATTAATCATGATATTCAACATGTTTACATGGTAACTAGCATTAAACTGTAGAAGCAATGTGTTTATGGCCTAAAAAAACCTTACAATGGCTAAAAGAGATGCTTTACATTTTGTATTTTCAACCTTCATTATGCTGAATAAGACTTTATCTACGGCCAGACAAATATAACGGCTACGTTTGTGTTGATCAACAGCAGAGAAAACCAAGGCAACTGACTCTCTTTATCAAAATAGTTTATTTAGAAGGCTTTTGTCACAAAAACAAGAAATGTCTCTAAATGTCCCCATTCCACTTCTCACACTCCCAACTAAAAGTGTTAGAAATAAAACATTGGTTTATTACTTAAGAGCTTAGAAGAAAAAAAGCTGTCGGATAAAAAAACAGCGAAGAAAAAAAAAAAAAAAGCAATACACTTGAACGATTTTGATGACTGTTTTTGTACAAGATGAGACAGTGAACACTGTCCTAAAAACACAGAACACTGACGCGCTATTGGCTAAACACGGCCCTGCTTTGACCAAAGTGTGGGCACATTGTGGATGCTTGAGGATGTGTAGATCTAAACAAAGAAGTACTGTCAAGCCCTGTAGGCAGCCAGTGCCCCCGTAGAGGGAACTAAAGAAAAGATGAGAGAAAGACAAAAGGGGCAGAGAAGGACGATTCAATGTTTATAAATCTGGGAAAGGAGCAGCAAGTGCACCTTACCGCCCTTCTGGATCTGTACTGTAAAATCTACCCATGGCGGAGATGTCCCTGCCTCACCAAATGCAACAACGCCGCCACCCATTCCTCGTTGATCCGATCATGGGGGCTAAAGTCAGGCAAATGGGAGCAGAGCCAATCCACTCCTTGTTTGTTTACTTACACAACATCCTTTATATATGAACCATACAACATTATTACATGTCCATTAAAGGCATGGGGAAAAACAAAAAACAAAACACTCAATCCCTCGAAGCCCTCACTTTTGTCCCAGCTCACGCCATCGCACAGACATACGGGCAGGTGGGCCAACGGGGTGGAAGAACGGGCTTATTTTTTATTTTTATTTGGTGGGGATCTTAGCCCGTTTTCGGGCAATGGCGTCCTCCACGGCCTTCAGCTGCTTCAGCAGCTCCTCGCGGCGGGACAGCGTGTTGCTGGGTTTGTTGGTGCCTGAGCTGGAGCCCGAGCCAGCAGCAGAAGTGGAGCCCGGGGCAGGCGGCTTGCCAAACGGCGCTGCCGGGCCTTTTCCAGATGACTTGGCAGGTGGTGACAGAGGACGTTTCCTGGGAAATAGAAGCTTAGGTTAAGGTCAAAGTGGACCTACTATCAGTTCATACGAGCAGACACCAAATTATCAGTATGGGTACATTCACCGATCATTACATTAAAACAACTGATTTACACATGATTGAAAGTCTTAACACAAGTTTAAAAGGATTAATAGTGGAACCAGCCAGTAGTTACGAAGAACCTGGTGATTCCTTTTAAGTATGAAAACTGTACAAATCACATGATTCAATAGGAATCAATGGGCTTGTGGCTTCAAACCGAAGACTGGGGAGGGTAGAAAGAAAGCACTGAAACACAATAGAACCTAGTTGACCATGACTGAAATCCAGGCTACTGCTTTGTAGAGTGAATTAATAGAAACAAGCATTAATAGTGAGAGCCTTGCAATCTGAATGAACGCCACTGCTAGCTACACTATAATCTACATTACTTTTGGATTCAAAACAACCCTTTTCTGCAGAATCAAATGTGTGTGATATTAGATGTAATCCTCACAATGCGGGACAGCAGCTTCAATCGTAATTGCGAGAGGGCCTTATTTCACTCCAAAGCAGTTATTTATACCTTTGTGTATGTCTATAACCACATATATACCACACATTGTGGAAAGAAATTTAGTCTATGGGAGCTAACCAAAAAGGCAATGCGTGAAATGTTTCATTGCTCTGAAAGACTTTCACAGTAACGATATAGTGAAGAATGCACCGACCTGTCTCCCTGGGGGGGCATGGGTCGGGGCCCCTGGCCTCTGGGTCGATCCATTCGAGGGGGGAGTATGGGTCGGCCAGGAATCCTCTTATCCCGGCCTGGAAAACATCATAGTTCATAGTGAATACATGCATTAAAAAACACATTACTGCTCTTCCGACAGCCAAATAGTTGATACTAACCCTAACTTACAATGGGAAAAATGTCTTTGCCAATTCTTCTTGAGATTTCTAATAGAAATTAAGACATGTTGAATTGTAATAGAATGGGTTATCGTTTCTTTCCGTCACCTGTCTCCAAATCAGAGGGAGAAAAAGGAGTAGGTCATTGACAGGGACCTGAGTGACGTGTTTGATGGGACACACTGCACGTTGTATGTGATGCGACCAATGCCTTATTTTAAATATATTTGGTGTTTGTACAAGCCATTTCTTTAAAATAATGGCATTTCACAGACTAAACAATTATGCTCTGCAGATTAATTGATCTTGAAATAAGCCTTAGTTTTGGCCAAATGGGTTAACGGACATTAGCCGGTATCATCTCAAGAGAGATGTGGATTTATAGGCTCTGCCTCTGGGTAGACTCTAGATGCAGCTGAACATCCTTTTTCTCTTTGCTTGTAATGCAGTAGAGGATGTTATGGAGATTTTTAGGAAGACTCAACTTTCTCAGTTGAGTACATTAACCATCAACGCTGATAAAAAGGTGGCCAGTATTCCATTTAATCATTAGACATGATATGCATTGAGCAGAAACATTCCCCCTGAAGAAACGCTGCCACAGGGTTGATTATAGGTGTACGACTGAACCATATCGTCAATGTGTGGCCCCCAAAATGTCTTAACTGCATGGTAAAACTGATGCTGAATGGTATGACACAAATGGCATCATATCGGAGAAATAATTAGCCAGTATGGTTCCAGGTCTGCTGTGTGTTTGTGAAACAGTAAAATTATGTGTCAGCTAGCTTCTCACCTCTGTCTGGAGACATGGCCACTCTCTTGCTGAGGGGGGAGCCGGGCCTGTCTTTGTCTGCAGGCAGATACCTCTTTCTGTTGCCCTTATCTGCCTGCTGCTGCAGAGTGAGAGGACACATGGAGTCAGGCAATGAAAGGAATAACGGAAATGTAACGTTTTCAATCCAAATGTGCAAAACAATAGTAAAAGAAATCTGTAGAGTGTAAATGATGTTATTGAGGTTGGAAGATATTATTATATCTCCCAACCTCAATAACCTCATTTTTATTTGCAGAGTCTTGCTGGAGTGGACTAATTCCAAGAAAATGCCCCTGTAAAAATGTGAATAGCAGAAACAGTAACCTTATTGAGCAGGGTGAGTTTAATGTCTTTGTGGGATCCAGAACCTCCGTAGCTTCCTGGAGGTCCCATGATGCCTGGTGGGGGATGTACAGGGTGACCACCCCTGCTACCAGGTCCAGATCTGGGCATTGGGTTGCCTCCTCTGGGTGGGGCACCAGTGGGATTGATCTTCCTGCGGTCCTCTCTAAATGGTTCATCTTTCTTTGATGGTCTTTCTATGATCCAGGCAGAAAAAAAACATGCGCACCTGAGCAATGCGAATGATCCATTATGTTATTTCCAATTAGAGAGAAATGGAAAATCACAATTAAGTTTTAGTTTGCAATACCTTAATATATATGGACATGAAATATCGGTTTTAAGCCCACTTCTGCTGTGCCAAAATAAAATTTAATTGTGCAAAAGTAAAAAAAAAAATGTCTGATCAGTTGCCATTTTACAAACTGGATTTTCTTCTCTAAGAGAGACTGTTACCAGCCACCTCTGCTTTACGTTTTTTTTATTTAATTTTGAGCTACGGTCAATTAAAGTCAAACTTCCTGCAGAGTTGCAATACACAAAAAATTAGGGCTGCAGCATCGATGAAATTGATAAAATTTGATTATTTAAAGCGCCAGCAACGAAATTAATTATCCATTCATTGTGTTGCACGATTATTACGTCAGAGTAAAAATGAAAAATAAAAGCGCCGAGCCGACGTAGACAAAAGAGCAGCCAGCAGTACCGGCAGTTGTTGTGAGTCACATGACGGAGGCAGAGACGTCTATTCGACTAGTCGTCCCAGGTGTGCGAGCATGGGGGCACACTACGGCCGATGGGGAGGTTGAAGAGAAACCGTAGTACGATTATTTTTTTGCACGAGAAATTGGATGTGTGGCGGGAGTGCATTACTAAAGCCCGAAATGAGTGACACGTGAGAGCCCTGAAAGTGTGTCAATGGCAAAAAATGCCAAGTCGACGTAACCTGGCATGGGAGCACCACGTTGTCCCGTTTTGAAGTAAGGAACATAAGGAGCCTCCAGCAGTTCTGCTGCTGCGGTTACTCGTCATCCAGCTGATCAAGATAGCGTTAGCTCGCTAATAACAGCAGTAAGTAAGACTAAGACACGTTTTTATTTATTCGCCTCTTTTGGACGAGTCATATTTCAATCTGTTTTCTTGTATTTCATGCTTTGTCCCATATTGGTTATTGTTGACATATATTTGTGTGTGTTGTACTAAAAAGTACAACACATCAACTACTGTATAACCCACAGTATGCGCTAATGCGGTCATATACGGTAGTTAGTGCGCATACTGTGGGTTATACAGTAGTTGATGTTATGCCTGTAAAGGGAGACATAATATAATGAATAAGCTTCAAATGAACATGGGGGTGTGTTTGAGTGTGTGCGTCTTGAGAGTGTAGTATAGAGAACAAGTTCTGACGTTAAAACAAATCCTGTTAAATTTTCTGATTTGTATTATTCTTTATAAATGATTATGTTCAAGGAGAAATAATCAACCGATTAATTGATTATCAAAATAATCGTTACAGCCCTACTAAAAATCTTCTAGTCCTGCAAAGGGCATAATCCCTACCTTCTCTTTTACGCTGTTACTTCGAAACAGTTACAGAAAGTAAATTAAGAGAGCTCAACAACGTTCCAAAAAAAGAATAGGAAACAATTGATGAAAGAAGGTAGGTATTGTTTTTGGATAAGAAACAGCACAGACCTGTGATTCCACAGAGCAATATACAGCTGAATTAACCAGAAGACCAAACATTCATCATTCCCTACATCAAAGCCTTCATTTGTTTGTCATTTGAAATTTGGCTTGCTGTATGGGGTCTTTTGGTGCCCACTAACCCCTGGTCTTGTCTCTGCTGTGGGGGGGGCGGTCCCGTGCAGGCCCACGTTCCTTGCGAGGCTGATTCGGTGTGGGCGAGCGGGAGCTGGCGGAGGACACTGGGCTGGCCAGGTCAGCATACATGTCGTCTGAGTCAGCGCTACGGACCGAGCTGCCGCTGGATGACGCCGATGACACCGATGAAACACTGCTCACACTCAGCGACCTGCGGCAAAGGAGACAACAGCTGCTGAAAATAACCAAGGCACTGCTGGGCTGGGCGCTGTCATCCCTGTGGGGCGAACCAACAGGCCCACTTGTCTGCGCACACACCAGACGCTAGTTACGTACGCGTGCACACTAGGGCTGTCAACAAATATTCTATATTCAAACACACACACACACACACACACACACACACACACACACATATATATTCTATTTTTTTAACGATAGTTGTTAAAAACAACTATTCGAATGTGAAAATTAAAATGTAAACATTTTTTTTTAAACCGCGGCGCAAAAAAGGATAAGTTCCATGTTTACCAGAGCACAGCTCGGTACGGTAAAACTTCAATTAATGTTAAGGTAAGGTCTTGGCCGTTAGTCAATTTACTTATTACTTTATCAGTAATTACTTATTTGTAGGTAATATGTTGTTAAATATGTTTAAACTTAAATCAATTACCTATAGAAGTAGTTATGTCTCATATTAATTTGTCGTGCCGAATGCGGAACCAGATTCGGTATATATATATATATATATATATATATATATATATATATATATATATATATAATTATTTTTTTTTTTTACGCGAATATTCAAACGTCATTTTTGAGCAATTTTTAAAGCCCTAGTGCACACACACGGAACTATTCTACGTGTATAATCACCTGTCACATCCTCGTCCGTCTCTCATATTTACACATTTGGCGGCTGTATTGCTGGAGTGCTTTGTTAAATTGTTAGCAATTTCGACACATTCAATATTAACAAACTTGGAATAAATGAGCATACAGCGCTCCGTTCATTAGCAAGGGCTTCAGGGCTCTGCATTACTGGATATACTAACTGCAGAAAAGGGACTCTTCTTCCCTCCCAGGAGTCACAAGCACAGAGTCACAAGAACATAAGCAATGTTCAATTCAAGGCTCTACTTGTACACTGTTTGGTGTGGGAGGAGACTTTAGTGCCACGGTCAAAACGCCTCGAGCAGCAACATCACGGGACAACCCGTCGACAACAGGTATGCTTTCAACAGCCACTGCACACCATAAACACCATAAATACTTTGAATATTTACTTGCATACTTACACCGTGAATAAAGATGAACGCAAAAGATAGTTAAGATGCAATAATGATGGTACCAAAACCAGCCAATTGTACAGTGCTGTGAAAGATAATTAATTCCTCCTTCTTGGTTTATTTTTTTGTTTATCTATCTCACTTAAATGTTTTGGACGAGTTGCTCTCCCGGTTGTGTGTGTGTGTGTACATTTGTGCCTGTGAGTTGGTCATGAAGTAGCACCCCCCCCCCCCCCCATCCCATCCCATCCCACTCCTTCCAGTTTGGGAACCACTGTCTTAAGGTAAGAAAAAAAATGTATCCAAAGCTACCTGGCCAGAGATGAAGTGACTTCCCCCTAACCCCAATGACTTGTTGTGCCCCTTGGCGGCAACAGCTACCAACAAGTTGGTGATCACTGGCCATGAGTCTTTCAAATCGCTGTGGAAAAAGTTTGGCCTACTCTTCTTGGCAGAATGTTTTTCATTTGACCACATTGGATGTTTCTTGAGCTTGAACAGCTTGAAGTCTGAACTTTAATTAAGCTTATTCTGAGCCATTAAGAGGTGGACCTGCTGGTGTTTGGGATCATTGTCCTGCTGCAAAACCTGTGCTCTTGACCTCACAAACTGATGGCCAGACTTTCTCCTTCAGGATTTTCTGGTAGAGAGCAGAATTCATGGTTCCATCAATTATGTTAAGTGGCTCTGGTCCTGATGCTGCAAAGCAGCCCCAGACCACCATACTGCCCCCACCACGTGTGACTGTTGGTATCATGTGGTTGGTTTTTGTGAAATGCTGTATTAGTTTTACACCTTCCAAATAGTTCCACTTCTGTTCTAGTCAGGCCACAGAATATCTTCCCAAATGTCTTGGGGATCATCCAGATGTTATTTGGCCTTTGTGTTATTTTTGGTCAGCAGTGGCTTTCTTCTTAGAACTCTATGGGTGCCATATTTGTCTTGGTCTTATTGTTGAGTCATGACCTCTGACCTCTTCATGGTTCGCTGGAATCCCAAAGCCTTAGAAAACTCTTCCAGACTGACTCCATTACTTTGTTTGTCATTTTTTTTTAAATGTCTTTGCATCACATTTCTTCCCTTTTGAGATCTTTTATCTTACTTCACTTTGTCGGACAGGTTCTATATGTGATTTTTGTTTGTGAGTGAAATTTAACTACATTTTCCCAAACATTTGGTTAATCACAGCATTTTAGCTTTTTTCTCTTGAAAGAAATCCATTTAAAAATGCATTTTTTATGTACTCGGGTTCTCTTTGATTTAAATCAATACATTTATGGTTGACAAATATGCAAAACAATAAGAAACCAGAAAGGGGGAATATACTTTTTACACAGCTCTGTAGTTGATATAAGGTATTAGAAATCCCGCCTGCTTCGATCTGCTTGTCCACAAAGAAGGTCATTTAACAATAAATGCCCCCAAAAATGCAATATATAGTCAACAACTTGTTGGCAAACGGCAGTTCTAATGGCAATGATGGTGTTCGTGGCGAGTACCTGGATTTTCTGGATCCAGAGCGTGACCGTGAGCGCGAGAGGGAGTTGGACGAGGATCTGGAGCTAGAACCAGTATAACTGCTACCACTTCCACTAACACCCCCACTCACAGTTCGCCTGGAAGAGACAGACACACAAGTGAGAACACAAAAGGAAGTGCTTTTTTAAAAACAAAACCAAGGTGTACTACCAAGCTCCTTGTTCAGCAATCAACAAATAAATTTCATTTTGAAATGGAAAAATATGGAGTAGTAAGAGTGTCATAGACCATTGCCGGTCTCAGCTCTGTGGCCACTGGGCCCCTCCACAACACCTGGAGTCACCAGCTGCTTCAGCAAAGGAAAACTCAAGTGGGTGTAACAAAGATACGTCCAGCCCACCGCTCGACCACCTTTTTATGCTCTCCTGCCACTCAATAGATTACCATTGTTTACTTGGCCAGGGAGTGAACTTGTACAGCCACATGTTTAACCAGCATTTGGCTGGTGCTAATGTCCAACTGATACTGCCATACTCAGAGTCCTGAGAAAACGACAGAGTGAAAGGGCGGCAATCCAGACCCGTTCCTCTCCACAGGGAGAGGGGAAGCTCCAAAATCTCCCCAGGCCTTTTCAAGGTGACATTACATGTCATTCTCCTAGAGGCGGTCGCACAGCGAGCCTTGGGGAAAAGCACCTGGTTAGGGCCAATATTCGAGGACAGGTCCCACGAGGCGGCAGTCCCACACTGATCACCTCCCCTAACCCGCTTAGATGAATCACCAGAGCAGACCCCACCAACTACAACCCCCAGAAGTATTTTTTTAACTGCACTTTCATCTCAAGAGGCGGTTACAAAGTCATCAGACTCAACTGTGGCATCCTATGAAATTTGGACCACCAGTAACCTAACCTTTGCCCCGTAGTTATTTTTTGTCTTACTGTGCTTTGGGCGATACGGTTTTCCCGGCCATAAAATGTAGGGGGGGGGGGGGGGGGCGCGGGGGCTGTTGACAATGAGTAATGTCCGTGTGGTACATCATCGGGTGTGTCTGCCCAATATATAAAAACAGCTATTGCGAGATGCCAACAAAAGTCCTAGGACACAAACAAAGATTAAAATCAACCACTTTCCCGACTGATGAAAAGGATGATTCAAACAGAACGCAAACAGATCACAAAGAACGCAATCTAAACTCAAGGATACTTTTTCATCTGATGGGCCCTTGGTCTTAATACATTCTTTAGAAATATAATGCAGAAATAAAAAACATGCTTCCAAAACGTTATCATTTTGAAATCTCCAAAACACCCACAGCCATTATCAGCTAATGGTCGACACGTTTTCATTTCGCTGTTTAAGTGCTTCCTAAAGTATCTACCGTGGAATAATCATCCATAACACAGCTACATGCCACAGGCATCTCTGAACCTATTCTTGCATATTTGCGGGGGCGGGGATCATTGAAGGAATGTGTCATTGCGGGGTGCCAAAGGAATGGAACCTGCGTCATGCGTCCTCTGCGGGGAAATAGGGAAATGATTTATCAATCCCTCGACTTAAAAAAGAGATTAAAGATTAAATCAGAGAATGGGAATGAAGCACATTGCATTCATTGGGGCTCTTTGTATGTACAAACGGGAGAAATCTATGTGTCATAAGGAAGTACAAAAAGTGTTGATAGTCTGAGCAGTAACAAAAACTGAGTTTAGCTCATGAAATACAGGTCTGCATCTGTAAATGACAAAGGTTTAACTGAACTGCATGTATTACATTGCTGTTCACATTACTAGTTGGGTCACCCTGATGCAACAATAGACATGTGATGTGCAAAGTGCAGTTCCTTAAGAGCTGTAATTTACTCAATACAACCTATCCCCAGCATTTGTTTCATAGCATCGGATAAAGCTACAGGTGCGTCTTCTCTGACACCGTCGGAATGTTAAAACATCTCACTGCCATGGTCAGTATCACTAGCCTAGATCTCTGGTAATCTGAATAGCAAACAGGGTTGAACTGGTTTTCCAGGATAAATTCCACAGTGGGATCCATTCTGCCTACACAACCACCCACCTGAAAACAGCGTCACACGCCCTCATTGTCCTTCCCCTCACGTTGTTGATGATCTCGGTCTCTTTCCCTCTCACACACAAGCACACCTAGGATTTAATGGGTAAGCAAAAGAGAGCCATCCCCCCACGCTCTCGCTCACACCTGATCTTCATGGTCTCCCCCCACAATGCGGTATTACTTCATACCACATACAAACAGAAATATGCAAATGTGGAAGTGTTGGGAAACACAGTTCTGCTTATTGTAAAAGCATCCGTTATAATGCGATCAACGGTGGACATACTTCCTTGCAAATTTGAGTTGGGTAAACAAACATACCAACATCCTCCCTTCCACATGCATCCAGCCGGTTTCTCTGTAGGCCCACCATGTGACCACAGAACATTTTAAAGGATCATGACAAGCTTTTTAATCTCATGCGCAAGACCCAAGGAAAGGTCATACCTGCGACTTCTGGGACAGGGCCTTTTTTGATGTCCTGGTCATATGCCAGTTCACGCGCTAGTAACAATTTGTTTTTGGTGCCAAACCCTCATTTGATTTCCAACTTTTAAAATCGATGCACTCTATGTAGATCATTGTGGTAATGTAGTGTGTGTGAATGCTACCTCACAACTTAATCAATAAAGAGCTGAGCTGCTGGAGAGTTCCCATTACAAAACACCACCACAGACAAATGTAAGTAGCGACAGGAATGGAGGGACATTTGAGAGCCTGCAGGTCCAGCGATGGGGACGACCCCCTGGAGGCCACACTGAATAATTGATCCATAAAAAGGGTACCGCAATCAGTGAAGAGAGACACTTAATCACTTGGCTTCTTCCCCGGAGTTTCTGTGCTTTCTCTCCCAACAGGTTTCCGTGGATCATGGTGTTATCTGCTCGACACCCACTGCTATTTTTATTATGGTCACATTTCTATTACCAATCTCGTTGGCTTCACTTTTTCTAATTCTTTAGGTGAGGTTTTCTTTGAACCGATATAAGGATCAAAGGACAGAGTATGTCATACAGCGTGTGCACAATTATTAGTCAAGTGAGTATTTTGACCATATCTTCATTTGTATGCATATTTCCCAACTCCAAGCATTTTAAATTTGCTAATTGGATATAAGCATGTCCAGTGATGTGTATTTGTGTTATAAGGGATGATCTGGCCTAAGGAAATCAACACCCTATATCAAGGTATGCATAATTATTACAGCTTCTTTTCCTCAGGCAAAATGGACCAAAAAGAGATCTAACAGAATCTGAAAAGTCAAAAATTGTAAAAAAAAAAAAAAAAAGTCTTTCAGGGGGAAGCAGCACTCTTGAAATTGCAAAGATGTTGGGGCGTGATCACAGAACGATCAAACGGTTTGTTGAAAATAGCCAAAAGGGTCGCAAGAAATTTGAGGAGAATCATACCTGAAGCAACCGTGAACCCATTATCCTCCAGCACTGCTATATTCCAGATTTGCAACCTACCCAAGTGCCCAGAAGTATGAAGCTAGGTATAAAAGGTGATTGTTACAAATCGGATCACAAGGCAAAGGTTGACCACTACATGAAAAGAAATGTATTGGTACGTTTTTATACACTGTTACAATTTTTTTAAGTAATAGTGTGCGTTTATATTCACTATACCTTCAGTAGCATCCCAGCATTGAACTCCTAACGCTTGTTTATGATGTTCTCTGCTTATGTCAGCTTTACATAAAGGAACGTTATGACTTAGAAACAGCCTTGCCGAGTGTTACTACTAAACATGCCCGAGGAAGAACATCTGACCATAGCTTGCTGAAAGACCACAAACATTTTATGGAAGTATCCGGTTGGTCTGGTCTGGCAAGGTGAAGTCTATAAAAACCTTATACATCCTTTTAAAATGCGGTTTAGATGTGTGGGAAAGCAAAATGCATTGTAAGACATGCTGAAGACATTCAGAGGGGTGCTTTTTATAGCGCTTAGAAACCCTTCCAATAGGGGGAGAAAAAAAGGAAAGGTTATCTGGCAATCAAAAACATGTATTTGGGAATATTATTTGTATTGACAATTTTTGAACACAGGTTTAACCAAATTTTGCTTACTGGGACGAGTTCACAATCCTTAATGTTAATACAGTAACATGTTTTTGCTGCTATGACTGGGACACTGTACTGAGGGAACACTTTGGGCCACCAATACAGTGTTGGAAGTAATAATGTTTACAAGTCTTGGTGTTTTCAACGACATCTTGCATGTTTCTGGCTAACTTTGACGTGTTCAAAGTCTAAAGATGGTGAGAACTAGTTTGAATAGATCAACTAGAGCAGAACTTTTACAGATTCCAGCCGTTTATCAAATCAGATTTACAGTCACATCTGACACCATAGCTGTGTAGTGTAATTCATTGATTGATCAGCTTTTGGAACAGCACTTACTCTAACATCAGCACTGTTGCTTCAAAATGAGCAGAAGGGTTAAAGAGAGACACCTACCTCCGTGGAGGATGCTGCTGTCGTTCTTTACGCCTGTCTTCCCTCGGGTTGGGGTTTTTTCCAGGTTCCCTTGGAGGTGGGGGCCTCCCTGCTGCACTGCTTCCCGCCCCGCCACCAGGTTCCCTGGGATTGGCGGTAGGCTTCCCCCCCTCTGGCAGAGGTTTGGGGGTTTTGCCCTGCAGTCCACCAGGCGAAGGAGGACTGGGAGCTTTCTTCATGAGAGGTTTCTCCCTGCGAGGAGGGGGTATGGCACCCGGCTTCGTTGGCATGCTTAGGGATGGAAGGGCACTTCTTCAAGCTCACACACAGTGATGGGCACGGATGTGATAGCAACTACAATGCACATGCAGTGCTCTAGCTAATGATTAATAAACGAAAAACAATTATAACAAACTGTGTTGCTGGAGAGCCAAAACGAGAGACATCATTGTTATTGCAAAGTTGAAGTATGACATTATTTAAAGAAACAAGGATGGTAGAATATAATATGGCTGACCATGGATCTAATGAATGCAAGTGTTTAAGCTTTACCCTTTAGCCAACACTTGGGGGAGATCTGGTTTGTTCTTTGCATTCTTCTGTGCTGCTGGACTCGGTGAGGGGGATGTGGAGAATGATCGAGATCTAGAAATCAATAGTAGTAAGAAAAATGGAATTATGCAGTTTAATTTCAAGATTAGATCACATCGTACTGGTTTCAAATTAGACTGCATCAAGCCCTTTAGAAACAACAAACGGAAAGAGTTGTGCGCTTCAAAAGCGCTTATTCTAAAGAAGACATTGACGATTAAAAAAAACAAACATTTTATATTAAAATGAGATGGGCACCGTTTGTGAACTCTCACAGGTAAAGGGACGGTACTTGTATTTCTCTGTTCTGGTCTCTCGCCCATTCATACAGTGATGACAGGAACTTCCACACACAGTGACACCTGCCATTAGTAACACTGACATCATCTACTGGAGGAATGTAGAAGTGGGTTTCCTCAAAGTCATAGGGTAAGTGTACATAGATACACAGACACACAAAGACATGGCTACCTAGAGCGGCTGCCACTGAAGGAGCTGCGCTGGGAGGAGTGGGTGGAGTAGGAGCTGAAGGAGGAGGAGCGGCTGCGGGAGCGAGACGACCCAGAACCGGTATAGGATGAAGACCGAGACGAAGACCTGAGACAAAACATACAAAGCAAGGAGAAGATTAAAGGACATTTTTTTTAAAACAGAAAATCTTATACAAGTTGAATTTGTATTATTTGTTCCTAATGTATTACTATACAAACAGGCTGATAGACCACAGGATAAGCTGGCATTTAAAATAAAAGTACAAAATTGTACGTAAAAGTACTCATTTTAGGTCAGATCAGTCTCATTAATGAATCCACACAGGAGTCACAAATGTATTTTATTTGAACTAGACGTATAAAGTTACATAAAAAGTAGCGTAAATACGCTAGTACCTTCTGCCGCTAGAACAAGAGCACACAATACTTTACAAGAGCATGTCCACAGAAATACATTTCAATAACAAGACAAGCCATTTCAGCATAATTTCAGAATTACAGTGCATCCGGAAAGTATTCACAGCGCTTCACTTTTTCCACATTTTGTTATGTTACAGCCTTATTCCCAAATGGATTAAATTCATTATTTTCCTCAACATTCTACACACAACAGCCCAAGAACGAAAACATAACATGTACATAAGTATTCACAGCCTTTGCTCAATACTTTGTTGAAGCACCTTTGGCAGCTATTACAGCCTCAAGTCTTCTTGGGTATGATTCCACAAGCGTGGCACACCTATTTCTGGGCAGTTTCTCCCATTCTTCTTTGCAGAACCTCTCAAGTTCCATCAGGTTGGATGGGGAGCGTCGGTGCACAGCCATTTTCAGATCTCTCCAGAGATGTTCAATCGGGTTCAAGTCAGGGCTCTGGCTGAGCCACTCAAGGACATTCACAGAGTTGTAAATGGTAAATGGCCTGTACTTAGTGCTATAGTGCTTTTCTAGTCTTCTGACCACTCAAAGCGCTTTAACACTACATGACATCATTCACCCATTCACACACTGATGACAGGAGAACCATACACAGTGACACCTGCCCATGAGTAACTACCGTTCACACACTGTAGTCGCAGCTACAGGAGCAATGTCTGGTTAAGTGTCTTGCCCAAGGACACAACGACATGCGGGTTAGCCGGGCCTGGGATCGAGGAGACAACCCTCTGATTGGAGGACGACCGTGCTCCCCACTCACCCCCAGTCTCCCCCAGTCTCTTCTCTACAACTTCGCCAGTTGTGCCGAAGCCACTCCTTTGTTATCTTGGCCGTGTGCTTCGGGTCGTTGTCCTGTTGGAAGATGAACCGTCGCCCCAGTCTGAGGTCCAGAGCGCTTTGGAGCATGTTTTCATTGAGGATTTCTCTGTACATTGCTGCATTCATCTTTCCCTCAATCCTGACTAGTCTCCCAGTTCCTCCCGCTGAAAAACATCCCCACAGCATGATGCTGCCACAACCATGCTCCACTGTCGGGATGGTATTGGCCAGGTGATGAGCAGTGCCTGGTTTCCTCCAGACATGACGCTTGGAATTCAGGCCAAAGAGTTCAATCTTCGTTTCATCAGACCAGAGAATTTTGTTTCTCATGGTCTGAAAGTCCTCCAGGCGGGCTGTCATGTGCTTTTTACTAAGGAGTGGCTTCCGTCTGGCCACTCTACCAAACAGGCCTGATTTGTGGAGTGCTGAAGAGATGGTTGTCCTTCTGGAAGGTTCTCCTCTCTTCATAGAACAACGCTGGAGCTCTGTCAGAGTGACCATCGGGTTCCTGGTCACCTCCCTGACTAAGGCCCTTCTCCCCCGATCGCTCAGTCTGGCTGGGCGGCCAACTCTAGGAAGAGTACTGGTGGTTCCAACCTTCTTCCATTTCCGGATGATTGAGGCCACTGTGCTCATTGCGACTTTCAACGCTGCAGAAATCTTTCTGTACCCTTCGCCAGATCTGTGCCTCGATACAATTCTGTCTCGGGGGTCTACAGATAATTCCTTGGACTTCATGGCTTGGTTTATGCTCTGATGTGCACTGTCAATTGAGATACCTTATATAGACAGATGTGTGCCTTTCTCAATCATGTCCAATCAACTGAATTTAGCACAGGTGGACTCCAATCAAGTTGTAGAAACATCTCAAGGATGATCAGTGGAAACAGGATGGACCTGAGCTAAATTTTGAGTGTCATGGCAAAGGCTGTGAGTACACGTTATGTTTTCGTTCTTAATTTTTAACAGATTTGCAAAAAAGTTTTCACTTAGTCATTAGGGGTTGTTGTGTGTAGAATGTTGAGGAAAATAATGAATTTAATCTGTAACATAACAAAATGTGGAAAAAGTGAAGCGCTGTGAATACTTTCCGGATGCACTGTATTTACATATTACTAGCACGCCAGAAAAGCTTTATCGCCGCAGGAAGTAGATGGGCTGGTACATGGCACGCACCAGCCAACGTGCATACCAGCATGACGTGAACGGTACGGCCGCACAGGATTTGGCCCGAGGGCCACGAGTTTTACATTTGTGGTCTACACGGCCATCATTCATTCCACCCTCTGCTCTGGTACGCTGAAGCCACAGCCAAGGACAAGGGAAGGCTGCAGCGTGTCATCTGCTCTGCAGAGAGGGTGATTGACTGGAATCTGCCGTCCCTAGAAGACTTGCTCGCTTCAAGGACGCAAGGAGAATTCTAGCAGACCACTCTCCCCCTGGTCAAGTCCTTTCCCTCTGGCAGGAGGACCAACACCTTCCCGCACAAAGACAGCTTCTTCCAGTCAGCAGTTGGGCCTGGGACGTCCACTGTTCCTGCACACTTGAAAACTACTTTCCTTTACATAATAACAACACAGAATACCGACACTTAAAAGAGAAATTCCTACCTGGAGGAGTTTGACAAAGAGACTGAGGAGCCTGAAGGCCGATGTCGGCGGCGCCCTCGCGGTGGCGAATCAATACCGGGACGTCTTCTGGGGGATTTGGACCGACGCCATGGATCCTTCCACTCATCTGGTCGTCTCATTACTGGAACGTCCTCCTTCTTGGAGGGAGGCTCCATTGGCCTGCTTAGAAAATATATGGTTGTGCTTGCTTTACATACTGCTAGGCTAATTCCATCTCATCTACCGTGGACGCACACAGCAACCACTGTGTCCCTAAAAGACAGTGGTTTGGAAAACATGTGGGGCGATTAATTCTTTTCTTTCTTTCCCATGAACCATTTTCCCAGTGTGAGGTCCAGAGAGCCCTGGAGCAGGTTTTCGTTGAGGATGTCTCTGTACATTGCTGCATTAATCTCCCTCAAGCGTTCAATGTCGGTACTGTAAAACTTTCAGTTTCAATCACTGAATGAAGCCTGCCATCTTCGGATCGCGACCTTAAATTGCTTGCACAAAACTCTTGATCAGCACTCGGCTATTCTTTATTGTTGTTGTTGTTCATTTAAATCGCTTCGCGCAGAGATAGATGTCTTTTTTTAAAGAGAATATTCAAACATCCTTTTTAAGCAATTTTGACAGCCCTACCGAGGAGTGGCTTCCGTCTGGCCACTCTACCACACAGACCTGATGTGTGGAGGGCTGCAGAGATGGCTAACCTTCTGTAAAGGTTCTCTCTTCATAGAGCAACACTGCACCTCTATCAGAGTGACCATCGGGTTCTTGGTCACCTCCCTGAGTGAGGCCGATCTCTCGGTTTCGCTGGGCGGCCAACTGGTGGTTGAAAACCAAAATTTCCAGATGATGGAGGCCACTGTGCTCATTGGGATCTTAAATGCTGCAGATGTTTCTGTACCCTTCGCCAGACCTGTGCCTCGAGACAATTCCTTGGACTTTTTTGCGCTCTAACTGTGGGACCTGATATAAACAGGTGAGTGCCTTTCTAAATCATGTCCAATCAAGTGAATATAGCAGGGTGGACTCCAATCAAGTTGTGGAAACATCTCAAGGCTGAGAAACAGGATGAACCTGAGCTCAACTTTGAGTGTCAAAGGCTGTAAATACTTATGTACACGTTAAAATGTCGTTCTTTATTTTTAATAGATTTGCAAAGAATTCCCAAAAACGTTTTTCACTTTGTCATTATGGGGTGTCGTGTGTAGAATATTGGGGTAAAAAAAATGAATTTAATTTTGAAATATAGGTGTAACGTGAAAAAATGTGAAGCGCTGTATTTGTGTGTGTGTTTATATATTTATACATATATATTCACACACGTGCGCACGCCCACAAATTGCTAATCAGCCAATCACATGGTGATCTACTGGGATTTAAACACACAACGATCTCTTGGGTTTACAAAGAATGATGCAAAAGAGAAAATATCCAGTAAGTGGTTATGTGGATGAAAATGCCGTATTGATGTGAGAGGTCAGAGAAGAATGGGCAGACTGGTTCGACATGATATAAAGGCAACAGTAACCAATTGTTTTGCATTGTAGCTAATGTATCTTCAAACAAAAATTTGTTAACCACCAGTAATATTGATGCATACCTGTCTATGTCCATCACACACAATGACCACAAAGACATAACACTAAATAATCCTTTCTGGTATATTGAGACCTAGAGTGAGAGAAATCCACTCACTTTGGTGGCAGGCTGAGGGGAGAGCGTGGCTTCAGTTTATCCTCCTCTTTTTTCTCCCTGGTGTCTCGAGGGGGACGCATCTTCGGCCTCTCCTTCTCATCCCGCTTCATTCGGTCCCTTTCCCACTCCTCTTTTCGCCGCATTCTCTCCTTCTCCCGCTCCCGCTCTCTCTCCCTCTGCCGGCGCTCCCTCTCCCGGTGATCTCTTTCTCTCTCTCGGTCGCGGGGCCGCTCTCGGGGGTCTCGCTCACGTTCGCGCTCCTGCTGAGATGGCCATGTTCATTTTTGTCTATGCCAGTTCATTAATGCCAATTCCATTCTCATGACATTCGTATACTGTGAATTCTGGACTATAGAGCGCACCTGAATATAAGCCGCACCTAGATTTAGAACGAAAAAAAGATGTGTACATATATAAGCTTCACCGGTCTATAAGCCACATGTGTCCACACGGCAGAAAAACGACTGCTAATGCAGACTCGTCCATGCCGGAGTTCTTCACATTGCCATCTCCAACGTCTCACCATTGAATTATTAATGGCAAGTTTCCTTCTCCGACAGCCAGATTGGTTGCCCGCAACGAACTAACTAGCTTGCTTGCTTGCCCGCAAGCCCGTAAAAAATTATACATTAGCCGCACTGTTGTGTAAGCCACAGGGTTCATAGCTTGGGAAAAAGGTAGCGGCTTATAGTCCGGAATTTACAGTAGTTTCCCTGTTCATTTGTAATTGGAAACAAAACAAAACCCCCCAGAGAATAGTTTTTAGCCAGGGTTACTCAAAAGGAAGTGAATATAGGAATTCAATTATTGGACTATTTTTGTCTGTCCACTGTTCCATTCATGAGTTGTTTCCTGTTTGAAAACATCGATGTTAGGGAGAGCATTCTGAGCAGACTAGGAAGGATACTTACAGTGTAGTGGTAAGGAAGCGGAGCTTCTGTGTACTGCACTCTGAAGTTTTCATACTGGCCACCTCTCCAGAGGGCCTCCATTTCATAGTCATAGTATGGATCTGCGTATTGGTCACTGTGGAGAGAAACACATTTGTATAATGATACCTCATAAAAGATACTTTGATGTTGATTAAACACAGAGGGAAACATGTTTTGTATCTTCTTCCCACCACCATTCATAATGACTAAATGGCCTGAGGGATTTCCCTGTGAAAACAGCACGCAGTGAAAAGGAAACTTTTTGCAGACTGCGTCAGCAGAGGTTTATGCTATTAGATAATATTTATTGATGCATTAACGTGTACATATCGCAGCTTGTAAATCTTGAGCACACACATTAAAGATGGTTCCTTTCATTTTAACCTGTGTGCGTGTGTATATACACACACATATATTCAAATTATCATAACAATAACAATGTTAGTTTGTATATACCTACCCATAAACAGGATCTCTGAAGTCCATTTCACTAAAAGAAGAAAACATTTATATCAATGATGATCACATACATATCATATCTGGTACAAATACTACACATTAATTGCGAGTATGCGTTTATGGTTCGCTATTAAACATTTTAAATGGGAGGAAAACCAGAAAAATGTAATTTCATAAAATGATTCCTTTGAGAGATATTGTTTCATGGAGTTATGTATGTAATGATGGTGAAACGCAACAGCATGTCTCAATAAACCTGTACAGAGAGCAAGAGGATTAAGAGGTCCTGGAGTGGTGTTTGACTTGAACAAGCCAGTTATGTATTTCTCCTAGTGGAAACACTTTAAACAAAACTGATAATCAAAACTGTATGTGGAACCTAAATCCTAAAAGCCATGGCCACTTACAGAGGTTCATGGAGACTGACGATTTGCATTATTACTTTGCATTGTAAATGTTGATTGGATTGATCTTTCACTTCTTTAATAGAGACATTGATCTCGGAATCCAGTTGTAGAGGAGTTGACATGAAGGCCGCCCACTTTAAAATCTCACAAGGTGTGTTTTCTATTGGATTGGATTTAAACCCTTGGAAGGTGTCGGTGGTAAAAAGCTTTGCATTGTGCACATGTTTGAAGTAAGGAGACATTACTCTCGGATGATGCGGTAGCTGCGTTCTCGGAAGAAGTCATTCTCTTTGTCAAATTCTCTGTCGTCCTCTCCGATGGTCACATTAAAGCGCTTCTCCTCAAAGTCAGGCTCTTGCTCCTTACGGATGGTGGCCTTTTTCAACACCTATGGGACACAGAACAACTTATTAAAATCAAACACAAATGATGGTAAACATTTTATATTAATGTCTGCCTTTCTCCTTTAGGTCTATGCTGCTGTCTTTTCACGTGAAAACCTTGTGTGACAGGGAAGCAATCAAAACCTATTTGGCTTACAAAGCCTTAGAGAATATCTTTCCAAACAGATAGTACACACGCACGCACAGCAGTTCATTCATTTTTGTGTGGGTGGCTGGGATGCAGGGGAAGCGCTTACCTCTTTAGCATGCCTTAGACCTCGCTCCCAGGCACTCTCCACAGGAGGCTCCACCGGAGGAGGTGGTGGAGGGAGCTCCTCCACTGCAGGTCCAGCCTAAGACACACATGCATGAATCCACTTGATTCTTTATGACGCACATATTTGTTTTTTTAATCTTATGTACATTAGTATACATTCATATACACATCACTGTTAAACCAGTGTACAATTTAAAATTACAGATATTATACACAGTTTATACTGTTTAACAAAAGAAAACAACCTACCCAGGGATTATTGGGTATGAGTGGGTGAGGTCCTACAGGAGGTGCTCCGTTAGGTGAGAAGGGATCCGGCTTAGTGATGAGGGAATAGTTACCTTTGTCATTGACTCCAGGGTGGATAAACCTACAGTTCATACCCCAGGTACAATTTCCTAGAGAAGACAAAGTGGTACACTATGATTAAAATAATAAAGAAATTAAGTATTTGTGCTACAACCTTGGGTTAAGACACAAAATGGTGGACTGTACTTGTACTGTATTTCTATTCTTCAGACCACTCAAAGCTCTTTAACCCTACATGTCATAATTCACCCATTCATACACTGATGACAGGAGCGAGCGACAACGCAATATATTTCTTATTGAATACTACACATGTGGTAAAGAACATGAAAATCTATATTTGGTACAAAGGCTCCCCCTACTGTAGATCTCCTTCCACAATAAGACCAGATAGTCGGATTCTTAACATGTAGGCCACTGTCTGTAGCCTATATGTTCTTTATCAGAGTAACAAAACAGATCTCTAATCCCTCTAAAAAGTCTAGATGTTTTATTAACAATTCTGCACGGTTAGCTGCGCACGGTGGAGCTCTACCCCACTGAGCTCTGGGTGAGAACTGCTCTTCATCACCTACCTTTGATAAAGAACCTGCAAATGGGACGTGGTCTGATCTTCCTGTCTGATGGATCCTTGACCTCCCCCTCCTCCAGATCATCGTCCTGTCCACATATAAGGGAAATTTTGACATTCTAAAGCAACTTCTTCTATCCGACCAAGGTTTGTAGTCTGTTCTATTTAAATGCCGTAAAAAAAGTTGATTGGGTTGCCTTGCAATGCATTTATCCTTATTCATTATATTCAACATAAAATGGATGAGCAAGGACATTTCCAGAAATGACACAGCCTGTATCTTTGAATCAGAAACCATCAGCAGTAGGTAACTTTGCACAGTTACTGGTTCAAAGTAGGACTACAACACCATCGGTGGAGATATTATATAGAAGCATATTCAAAAAAACAAAGATTTGAAGGCACAATGGCACAAATGTAAACTAGTTCTACTCAATCTACTAGTCAACATTTGTGAAGAGCTGAATATGATTTGGGTGTGCGATCCAATCGTGCAGTGTCAGACTAGCCAGTAGCAATAATACCATTATTAGGAAAACATGAGATTTACATATATCTTGACTATATCTCTTGTTGTTTAGCCTACAAAATCACTTCTTTATAGAGTGTAGATTGGCAGGGTGGGTTAAATTTTTTGCCAAATTCATCTCCTTACTGTCACCCAATGTTTTCATTATTGGTCAGAACACACTTCCTGTGTGTGCAAGAGGGCATTATTTGTGAGAGAGACGGATAGTTGATCTACATAGTAGTTGATCCTCTGGCTTGTTCCTTTTGGTGACAGAATTTTGGTGGTCATGTCAGTTATAATTAAAAATATTGGATGTCCTATGAATTAATTATTGGCCAAAATATAAATTTACACCAGTTCCTAACTGAAGTTCAGTATAGATCAAGGTCTTGGTCCCAGAACAAGTCCTTTTATAATGAGTATTTGCTGATACAAGGTCTGATTCAATACTTATTTTAAATACACAAACCAATGATAACGATTTTACACAAGAGAACATCAATCAAAACGTCTTAATAGAGAATGCCATTTTCTTTACCCACTTTACCTGCACCCAAGCAATAGGTGCAGGTAAAGAATTTAAACTATGATCACTTACATCAATCTCTCCTTCATCAATCTCTCCATCGTCTTCATCCTTCTTCTTGTCTCTGAAGGAGTCTCTACGCATTCTCTCAGGCTCTTTGCATTCGCCCGACCTCTTGAATTCACTGTTTCTAGGCGACGGGGGAAGGATTGGTTTCTTTTCCCTCTTTTTATTGCTTTTGTCACCAGTTTCTTCTTCCTCTTCTCCTTCCGCTTTTGTGTCTTCCTCGTCTTCTTCTTCATCATGTGCAGGGATACTGGGCTCCTCTGGGACCTCCTCATCGTAATCAAGCTCATGCTCATCCAGCTCCCGGGAAACAGACGCCGGGTCATCCTTCATCTCCCTCACCATGACTGCTTTCCTCCTCTGCTCTTGCTCCGCTCTCATCACTCTGCGATCCTCTTCCTCCTCAGACTTGCTCATGTCTTCCTCCCCCTCATCGTCGTCATCATCCACCTCAGCTGGATCTGCTGAGACACTCTTTTGATAGTCCCTGTATCCTTTCTCCACAGAGTCTCCATCCTCTTCAGGATTTAAGCTCTCGCCCTGTTCTGAGTCTGGAGACTGTGGGGTGTCAATGACTCCATCGTCTTGATCCTCTTCCTTCTCGTCCTCCCCATCCAACTGTTCCTCCTGCGGACCATCTTCCTCTCCCTCCATCAATACAATGGTACCTTCCTCCTGTCCAATACCATCTGTTTCTCCTACAGGGTCCTCATCCTCTGGGTCAGAGACAAAGTCAGGGACAACCTCATAGTCTTCTTCCCTCTCCTCCTCTAAATCCGAATGTCTTACTTGATTCTCCAACACCACTTCATCCTCCTCAGGCACCCCATTATCCTCTTCATGGACTAGCTCACTGTTAGATATGACCCCGTCCTCATCTTCATCAGGAGAATCCAGCAGCTCACTGTCAGAAAAAACCCTCTCCTCCTCTTCCTCCTCCTCTTCCTCCTCCTCCCCAGGAGACTGAGGGGACTGGGTGGGGCTTTCAGGGGTATCCATCGGAGAATATTCTGCTGCAAACAGGACAAAGGAAGTCTGTATAAAACATGTAATATCCTAACTGAGCAGACAGTTTGCATTTATATGTACTAGTCATAATACATGACAGAACATTAACTAACCGATATGTATCAAAACAAACAAACAAATAAGTGAAACATCAAAGAAGAGTATATAAAATGATTTTCTAACAGTTTTTGGGATGGAAAGAATCTTCAGTAAATTGAGATATTGTATATATCCAAATAGACAAACAACCACAGCTTCAAATTTATGTTTGGCATATGTGACAAAACCAAAGTAGACCAACCTTTGAACTAAATAACAGACTTAAATGTACAACAGCAAGAAGTTTGTATTTCAGTGCTATGCCATTTGCCTGAGCCTGCTTACAAACTAATGTTATCAATTTAGATAACTAAAATAAACTTTCATATGAGAAAAAGCCGTAATACAGGTACAATAGACATACATTCGATTCATTTTAAATTTAAAGAAAGTTAGTTTCCAGCGCAGCTAAATCAACAGCAAAGGACCACATATTAGCTACAGCAAGCTAGCTAGCTAGTAGCATTAATATTATCTGCCGAAGGCAGCAGCGATGGTAAGACATTCATAAAACCGTCCTGCAAACGTGTAGGAGGGGCTCCATGGCGCCATAGGGGAGTTCTAATTAGCTGATACTAACGTGTACACACTCAAACGTCTGCAAGTTCGGAAAGTGAGTGTTATTACACTTCTAATAGCTGGATGGCAAAAAGGCCCGTAACGTCAACGTCAACCCGGACAGCTGGCTAACCAACGAGTACAATGCCTAGAACGAACAGCAAACACTACGAGAAGAATATAAACCATTTAAACAACTCATCTTTGATGCGAAAGTAACATTAAAACGCAGCTGTACTCATGTGCGGACATAGCAGCCTACTCGTCTGTCTTTCACTAAACAATACACCCATCGGTGTAGCTAACTATAAGCTAAACGCGCAGCTACCCTCTGCTCGCTGCTAACAATCCTACCTTTTTTCCTTTACCTTGTCAACCCGGAGCTCTTTATAGACAGCACTGCTGCGTTAGGAGCGGCACTCTCCTACTAATGTGATTTTTTATACAGTCTACTCAAATATCTGACGGGTTAATTTAACAGCGCTGTTGGAGAAAATAATACAATCCTCACGCCACAGCGAGAGCAGCCATTACATCAACGTCATCAACATACGACAACCCAGTAGGAAAAAAACCGCGCAGGGAATGAACAGGGGCCGATCTGAGATCAGTGGCCAAATCCCAATCTCCCCGCTAAACCCTAAACCCTAAACCCTGAACCCTGAACTGGCGTTGCCTCCTACGTGGTTGAGTGTGAGAGTCTGCGAGGGCTTTAAATGGCGTGAATATAAATGGTACAGCACGTTGCTGCCTCATGTCACCTCGCCAACGTATAATTTACAACTGAAGGTATTTATTAAACACTTTTTATTCTCTGATTTGAACATCGTTTAGGCTCTTTCGTTATGAAAAAAAATGTTTTACGTTTTTTTGTTAAAATTGCTTTGATGACTACATTTTATATTTCATGCACAGATTAATAAATATGGTCTGATTTTGTGTGTTTTTAACCATCTTTAATCCTTGATGTTAAAAATGGACAGTCTGAGCACACAAGTGCATCCTCTTTTCTTAACCTTTTTTTCACACATCCATGCTTCCCCTGGTTATCCCGTTGTTGATGTCACATTGCAATGACTTGTAGGTAATCTATTATTTAGGTAATGAAACAGTGATAGTGGAAAGTACTTTCATTGATGGTAAAGCCGACCAATTTTATCAAGTGACATTATAGCCTGACCACGATGACGATAAATAGTTTGAAATCAAATGTCTGACATGAAAAGAACCCGAAAAGACAGTGGCCAACGTCCTGCTATTTGGTGGTACACATTTTTCTCTTTCAACTACTTTTTAGACATATGGGCAGAGGAGAAAATTAATAAAAATGAAAATGTGTGAGACCGAAGTAGATGGCTAATGACATGAAAATGGATGGATGGATTGAAAATAAATGAGATAAAATGCATAGGAAACCAATAAAACACATAAAAATAAATACTAATGAATAAAGTTGACTTAATGTGTCATTCTCTATGGTCATATTATCATATCAAGTAGTGGAAAAAAGCAGTCTTGTGTCCTTTTCTAGAACTTTACTTCACACATTCTGTGAAATTATCACAAGAGATGAAATGCCCTTTCTGCTGTGATTTTGTCAAATTCTTTAAGGGAGACTCATCAGTGTTCCTCCAGGTTTCTGCTACAAAACTTCACATTTTAAGACTTACCTGTCTTGAGCCCTTGAAACCCTGAGGAGTTCTGAGGATGGATCTCCACAATGTGTTCAGCATGCAAGACATTGTCTTTTCTTGAGAAGTTCGTTACATTTTATTTGTTAGTTATTAAACTATATGTTTGTCAATTGCTTAAGTGATTTGTGACAAATATTCTCATCTGGAGTTCAGCTACTTAAATAAAACTAAACCAACCAAAGAAGGGAGCTAGACATATGCTGTTACCTCCTGCAGCCAGTCCTAATCACCTTCAGAGTTCTGATGATTACACATGCAGTGGATATAAAGTCTACACACCACATCTCCTCTTTTATAAGAGGGTGTGTACACGTATGCAACCACATTATTTTAGTTTTTAATCCACCCACCCTTTACAAAGAATATTTTATCCCCTGTCAAACATAATTGTTGTCAAAAGGTTGTGAACCGTCTGTATTTTAGTGATATATCAAGACAGTTACAAAATCATATAATTTAAACATATAAAGTATACCAAACTCAATAGTGTCCGATTTACCTGTGAAAGTTAGGTAAACGTCACACAAAAAAGTGTTGGTATAACTGATGATAATTGAATATCCTAAACATTAAAGAAAAGCATTAATTTAACATAAAAATGTAATGTTAGTTTAGCAAATGATAATCTAATATACTTAACATGAAATACATATTTAAAATCAATATAAAAAGTAATGTTGGTTTAAGAAATAATAATTTAATGTAAAGAACATGAATATAGTGTTTTGTGTAAACGATTTAATTTAATTCGTGCAACCGATGTCCATATTGTTTTTATATAAATCCAACAGACTTTTTCTTTCAGTGTAGGGAGGGGCCAAGGCCATGTAGAGATTCCCATTTCGTTGTGACGAGAGAATGATAAGGAAGTTCATTCTCAGTCACTCAAGCATGACGTTTCTGACGTTACAAGAACCATCACAAATCACGGGAGTTTTGGGGTTGGTAGACATGCCAGATACTCAAATTTACGTGTAGAATCACTAAAAAAGTAATTTCCATAATATGACTATTCTGTTCAATATCTACATGCTTCCATTGGCTCAGATTATGGAAAACAAAAGTTTGTTATCATAGTTATGTACAGGTAGATGACACATAAATCTACATAACTATCACCAGGAGAATACAATGCAATACACCGGCGTTATAAATGCTTAGATCAAATCAATAACTAGATGTGCAAACACTTTCCTCAGTTAAACAAAGATAAAACAGAAGTAATGTTTTTTTCGTAATAAAGATAAACAATTGAAAGTCAGTGCTGAACTTCAATTGCTGATGTTAAAAAGCACAAACCAAGCCAAAATGGATTAAGGATTCTGGCCTCAATTTATATCAAGACAGTTACAAAATCAGCCTACTATCACCTAAAAAAATATATATATGATTTGTCTCAACAAGATTTAGAAAAACTTGTCCATGCAATTATCTTCAGTAGACTTGATTACTGTAACAGTGTTTTTACAAGTTAATCAGAAAGCTTCCAGAATGCTGCAGCTCGAGTCCTCACTAGGACGAGGAAAGTGGATCACATCACTCCAGTTCTCAGGTCTTTACACTTGCTTCTTGTCCAAGACTTTACTTCAAAATCCTGCTGATGGTTTATAAAGCACTAAATGATTTAGAGCCAAAGTACATTTCGGATCTGCTGCTGCTACCTTACGAACCGCCGCAAACCCCAGGACTGGGTCGTCTGGGACTGGTCTACTTTCTGTTCCCAGAGTCAAAACTAAACATGGAGAAGCAGCGCTCAGAAAGAGTTCTCTTTTAAATCCAGATTAAATAGAATTTTTTTTATATTTGTAACGTTGTCTTTTATCTCTTTAATTACTTTTTCTTTTGTGTTTCAATCAATTTTCTTAACTGTTTTTAAATCTGCTTACTTTGTTCGGAGATGCTTGCCTGCTCCAAGGCCTTCCATGACTCTTCCCTACTTTACTCAACCCACGGCAGGTGCACGGACCAGGAAGCCTTCTAGACCTGTGACGAGAACTGCGGCCCTCTGTCGGACACTATATCAAGGGGAATGCCGTACAGTCAGAAAACATGAAGGACCAGGAGGTCAGCAGTCTGTATGGCCAAAGGAAATTTGGGGACGGGAATAAAATACACCGCCTTGGACAACCGGTCGACAACCGTTAAAATGGTGGTATTGCCCCCAGGCAGAGGCAGGCCCGTCACAAAATCCACAGCGATGTGAGGCCATGGACGGTCTGGCATAGGCAATGGTCGCAACTGACCAGCCGGGGTTTGATGGGACACCCTGCTGCGAGCACAAACTGAACAAGCTGACACAAATGCACGTGTGTCCCATGGCATGGATGGCCACCAAAACTGTTGGCGAACAAAGGCAAGTGTGCGGTGGAACCCAGGATGGAAAGTAAGTTTGGAGGAGTGTCCCCACTGTAGTACCTGAGATCTGACTGTGTCTGGCACAAACAAACGGTTGAGAGGGCCACCACCTGGATCTGGATGAGATTGCTGGGCCTTCTGGACGAGAGCCTCTACTCCCCACATGACTGTGGCCAACAGGGAGGAGGGGGGAAGAATCAGCTCAGGCTCGAAGGCGGGTCCTTCTGTGGTGGACTGCCAAGAGAGAGCATCAGGCTTGATGTTGCGTGACCCAGGCCGGTAGGTGAGGGTGAAATTGAACCTTCCAAGGAACAACGTCCACCGAGCTTGTCGGGAGCTTAGTCTCTTGGCAGAGCGGAGGTAAGAAAGATTCTTATTGTCTGTCCAGTGGTGCCACAAAGTTGGTACAAAGATGGAGAGGGCTTTTGGCCCAGCTACAAGATTGTTCATAACTTTGTACTTTCTCTACATTCCGTTTGTCAGGGATGGGTGGAGGAGGCAGGACTCAAACGCAGACTTCTTAGAAAGTAAAAGACTTCAATCATTTTCATAGTCAAAAGGCAAAGGCAAAAGGCCAAGGGGCAAAAACACACAGGAACCAGGGGAAAAACAGCAGGCAGGAACTACGAACATCCACGACGATAGACAATGACGCGACTAGTGACACACGGCTTAAATACACTAGGGAGGTGCAGGTGATTGGACACAGGTGGAAACTATTAGACGATCACAGGGGATGACAGGAAGTGAAGTTACCCGGGGACACGAGTGGCAGAAAACTACAAAATAAGACTGGAAGTGAACCACACCGTGACAGTACCCCCCCTCAAGGGCCGAATTCCAGACGGCTCACACTAGAGAGCGGACAAGGGGTGGGAGGGAGGGAAACCAGAGACGTTGGTCGGACCACCCGGGAAACTCTGGCGGGCGGCCAGGGAGCCTCCGGGGGTCGGCCCGGCAGACAGGTACACGGCCGGGGAGCCTCCGGGGGTCATTTGGCCGGCTCCGGAGCGGCGACTGCAGGGCACGGAACGTCTCTGGAATGGCTGGCTCGGAGACACGGGAAACCTCCGGGGTCGTCGGTGGCTCGGGGACACGGAACAACGGCGCGGTCGTCGGTGGCTCGGGGACACAGAACACCGGCGCGGTCGTCGGTGGCTCGTTGACACGCAACACCGGCGCGGTCGTCGGCGGCTCGGGGACACGGAACACCGGCGCGGTCGTCAGCGGCGGCGGCAGCTCGGGGACACGGAACACCTCCGCAGTCGGCGGCGGCTCTGGGACACGGAACACCTCTGCAGTCGGCGGCTCAACCCCCCCATAACCCACCCCATAACCCCCCCCTCAAGGGCCGGATCCCAGACGGCCCTTAAATCACCAACGGGAGGGTGGGAGAGGACCATGGGATGGGAGGGAGGGAGCCTGAGTCTCGGAGCAGGGACTGGAGGCGTCGGGGTCATGAGTCTCGTAGCGGGGACTGGAGGCGTCGGGGTCATGAGTCTCGGAGCGGGGACTGGAGGCGTCGGGGTCATGAGTCTC